TGAAAATTGGACGTATTAACAAACATATTGCAGTGTTTTAAAGCAAAGAATTGTATGATGTATGCATTTCTGATTATTCACTACATGCAGATAGCTATAATATCACTGATAAGACCCGCTCACAGATTGTATCCAAAATGTAATTACTGTTGATCGCAATTGAAAACCGTGGTGCAAGAACTAGTTAATATTTTAGAAATGAGGATCTTTCAAAAATTGAAAAGTTCTTTTTATTAATTAGTACAATACGTTCTAGTCCAGAAATAATAAAAAATGAGGATGACTGAATTGTGCACCAGTCTTCACTTACAATCGTAATGATTGTAAGTGATTGCTATTCACTTCAATTACCATTGTAATTACCTCACAATTATATTTAGCAATTGCGATTATAATTGCCGTCTATCGCAACATATGCTAATCATCAGCCATGTCTGAGCATTAAGGTAGTTTATATGTGATTACCTTCTAGTTACACCTGACGAATGATGTAACCCGAAATGAATCTTTTTCCACATTTACCGTAATATGCATTTTTAAATTAATGAATTTAATAATAATTTCTTTTATCGTAAACGATATTTTCCTTTATTTTCCGAACGAAAATTTCGTTTAAAGTTATCAATATGGAAAGGGACGAATTACACCCCGGGAAAAATATCGATTTAACAGTAAAAGTGTAATAAAACGTATGTTAACGCGGAAAGTACTGTAACATCTTATTTTGTTGCTTTTCAAACGATTACGATATGAAAAATTAATATTGCATCGAAGGTGTAATTGCAGGTGTAAAGCACCTTAAACCCTAATTTTGAACGAACTTCATCGCATTTGTCGCGGATCGGCCTTCGTAATAGGACGTTGTTCAGTGGTCATCCAGTGACACCTGAATTGTCAAATTGTGTGTCACGCACTTTTTTATTGTGTCTCGAATTAATAAATCTGATTTCGTAGCGTGGTTGAAAAAGTCTCGTTGTTTTTTCGTACGCCTTTCATAATGAGACCATCAACGGCGAATGTAAAGCTGGTGACACGCGCAAATGTTAGTAATTACCACACGTAAATGAGTGAGATGTTTATAGTGTTCACTTTGATGTATGTACCAAGGTAGTAAGCTGAAGGATGAAACTATTCTCCTCGACGAGTTCACATAACTTAAGCTCGTCATAGCAAAAGTTTGGCCCAAGGATTACTTATTAACGATGAACAAAGCTCACATGGATAAAAGACTGAATCAATTGCCAACTTGGCTATGGACTAATTCCACTACTTTACCACCAATCTATAAGATGGTATGGGAATCTGTACGAGAAGACAAAGTCAGATCTAATGGGATGCAAACGGAGTTGCTCGTTGACACCAACAAAGTCTTTCCCTTGTTGCTTACTAGTCAACTTCCCACAGAAGTTCTTGGTCATATATGGAATTTGGCGAATCAAAAGTATGCTGGCCAACTCACAGAGCAGGAGTTGTACATTGTCCTTGCTCTTGTAGCTGCTGCACAGGCTTCTTATACATTTAACAGTCTAGATATATTACACTTGCTTCCATTTCCGCCTACTCCGTACTTAAATATCGAATGTTTAATGAATCTACAACCCGTCACGCACACGAATTCCGCAGCTAAATTTCAAAGCCTTAACGAAAACACTGAAGTCAATTTCCTTGGCCCGGATGGTAGATATCCTTCGGAAGTTAAAGGAAAAGCAAAATTGCACCAACATGGAATCATATCTTCGGATTTAAATATGCAAATGACAAACAATGTACCTGGAAAAGTTTCATGTCTCGATAATAAATCTCACGCCTCTTCTACCGCTGTATGGGATTTAAATAACGTATTTAAAGATGCAAAACACATTAATCGCTCTCAGATGGATTCTAAGCATGCACCTACGACGGATTCCTGCGACGACTTTTCCGAATTTCAAAGTGCTCCGATTCCTAACACTCCGAGCGTACCCATTTGGGACACGAAACAAGGCTCGGCTATCGGCAGCAGACTCGCAAACCACAATTTAGGTGTTAAGAAACCTGTAGAGAAGTCAAAGAAAAATAACGTTAATGCTAAATCCGTGCACGGTGCTATTCAATTGCGAGTCGCGTCTGCACCTTTAAATGCAACACCTCAGAGTAAAGATCAGCCTACACTGGATTCACCAGAAATGTTTCCTAAATGTACAATAAAAAATCAATCTAAAACAGTAATACTTAAGGATACAGTGATAAGAAATAATGATCCGCCCAAGGACCAGAACGAAGTTAAAGGTCGTATGAACACAGAAATTATGAATTTAACAAATGATAAAGATGTTTCAAACAAATTAGAATGGTCAGAAAAGGTACTACAGTGTTAATAAACCACACTATTTGTCATTATTGTTTAGAACTATTTTTACATCACATATTATCTAGGTTTCAATGGGAACAGTGCAACCTACTCAGCAGGATCTTATGAATCTCCAACTAGTCGAGGATAAATATAGTGCCTTGCGCGCATTGGTTCAAGAAACAGATCCATCAACGGAACCGGACTTAAACGCAAGTTCTAACAATCAATCAACCGACGAATTTGGAGAATTTGTATCCGCGGAACAGCCTGCTATTAGTACTCCAGCATCAAATATTTTAAACACTGTCGTAGACTTAGAATTTAAATCCAACATCGGTAACACGAATGCTGCAGATTTCAATCTTGTGCCAGAAATTTCTGAATCATTCGATAATCTTAAACTCGAGGATGCGGTAGAAGAACGGTCAATAGAAACGGGTAAATAATATTATTAATACTAAATGGTTTAATTCACTGTATTACGAACAGTCTCGTAACTATGTTCCATTTTAAGGCAAAGTTCTTCAGAAGGAAGACGCCATATCAATTAATAGTATAGAGTTCATGAATGGTGCACCAAATGCACTGACACGATCAGGATCTGTGCCTAGTTTAGATCTTAAGTCATTCTTACCTTCGAGCGTGGAAGATGAGCAAATAGCAGATGCTATGCATCAGGTTCTTAAACTTTTCTTTCTATACAAATATATGAGACAGAATAATCGTAGATTAAATTAAAAGACAATTTATTTGCATTTACAGGCTGAGTATTGGGAGTGGAAGCAATACATGGAAAGTTGTGTATTATTGTTACAAGTAGCTGCAAATATATTTACAAGTATTAATTCAGAACTCGTGCTGCATGAAGTTTTAAATTCAGCACAGGGATATAATTTTCTTTGCAGTAAGTAAATTATTAAGTAAATTCACTCGTTTGTTGTACTTCTGTTTTTTGGAAAAAAAATCGATAATTACTTTATGCTGTTTCTCGTTAGACTTAGCTGAAGTCGCGGCTGTTTGTAGGCGTGTTAATTTTTCGTATAAAGAAATGGACATTAATATAGTAGGATTTGATGAATTGCTAATGGATATTGACCGGATTTGGGCAGAAATGGAACCATTTTATGCAAACATACCGGTGAGAAATAATAGTATTGTGCAACACATTATACATATCTTATTAACCTAAATTCTTATTATAAAATAATTCTTGCATTTTTATAAAAAAAAGATGACGTAATACGATTGTACGTTCATAAATTTTGTTAAGACATTCTTAACGATTCCATTTACAATTTTTTTTATAAAACATTCCAGATTGTTACGGAACTACCAGCTTGGCCTTTGCATCAAGGAGAAGCCGTTTGTTGTTCACTTTGTTTAACAGTCATTACTAGTGGCAGAATAGTATATAATGAAAACAATTATCACGTTACTTGTGCTAATTTATGGCTTAATTGCGTAAACAGTCATTTACCAGTGATGCGGCATCCGTCTTTCTATACTCACACGAACATATGTTCAGGTAACAATCATATTTGATACTGATCTGCATAAGGAAAAAGAAATTACGTTCGTAAATTTTTAATGTACACATATTAACTTATTACACGAAGGATTTGTAGGAAACAGAACAGACTAACTTTACATTTAATTATTAATTAGAAAATCAAACATTGACATTTTTAAATATTTATCGCGTAATAAGAACGTGGAATTAAAAGTGAAATGATACGGGCGTGTGTATGATACGAGAGACTAGATTCCATGTAAAATGTATATATTCTTTAAATTTGAAAATTTTTAAAGGTATTACCGATTAGTCCATTCCAAAATATTGTACAGACAGTGAAATATTAAGACTATAGTCCGTTTGAATAGGGTGAAAGTAAAATTGCGAAGAAATCTTACGAAATTATAAGTGTAGCCGAAACGATCGAAAAGATGTAAGGAAATTCTTAAACCTGAACAAAAGTTCATATCAATCAAATCAAGTTAATATTTTCGAGAAAATCTTATAAAATTCATAGCGAGTTTCCGACGCGAGATAAAAACTAAAATATTATTCTATTATATGATATTACAGTAAAGTATAATAATCTTCTTACATTTACAAGTTCAAAATTATCGTTGACTTGTATCGCGTGGTCTATATACTATTCCTCTGCTTTTCATCTCTCTTATAACGCCTGCTGGTAATCGTCCCGATACCGATATCGCGTATACACCCTTGCAAAATCGATCTGATGGAAAAAAAAATGAATCTCACAATCAGTTATAGTAACGTTTACAACTAGCAAGGTAATCTTATTCTTCATTTCATCTTAGTTTAAAAAGATTATAAAACAATGGAAAATGACATGTAAAAATTACTGCAAAATATACACAAAATTAAAACAAGTTAAGATAAAATCTTGTGTTCGCACATGATCATGTTCCTTAATAATTATGCATACTGTCATACATCATAGTAAAACTTCTGTATAAATGTATAATAGTATTTAAACGTAAAGAATCTGACAGGCAAACGAACTTATTAAATTGCAAATATACATGCTACATTGTTTTGTATCGTATTGTTTGTATCAAAGTATTGGCTTCAAAATTTGTACAAAGTACCGCCTTTAAATACACTTATAAGCATAACACAAAGTGGAGATTCGCATTGTTGTTATTTGCACTGCCAAAAACATGAATTTAAAAAGAAAGAGAGAAATTTGTTTATTAGGTGCTCGAAGAAATATTACGAAAATTTCGAATGTAAACAAAATGTTGGACAGAGGGTAACAGTTTATATTATGATTTACTATAAGATAATGTAACTGTTATAATTTTGTAAAGGTATACAAGAATAAAGTAACAATATTTCTCTTGCTTAATCTTAACTTAATCGCATGAATGTAAATTTGTTACTTACTTATTCTTTGCCATTTGCTAACCCAACTGTCCTCGGGACTCATTGCGGCGATCATACTAAAATGCAACGCATAAGAATGATTTAGAGACTGTTACGGCGATCATCGTTTCGTGTTTGTTTCTTGCTCACCCGTCAAAATTGGAGCTTGTACAGTCGAAAACATTGTCCTTATTATTTTTCATTCGCAAGAATTCATCGCAATTATCGCAACCGTCGAATTCAAATTGATCGAACGTCTAAAACGAGAACAGTATAGGTTATGTCCATGAGCAATGAACTTCAAGCAGTAATTACACGATTTATTCGTAAAATTTCAAATGAAATTAATATCGAAGGATTGAATGCTTGTAAATAACATACCTTAACCAAAGAGCACACCAAACAAGCTCTTAATCCTCGTAAATCTTTAGGAACAGTTTCCATCGGTGTGGTTATTATTTCACATACATACACAACATAAACTATGATTATATTAGAACCGTATTCCCATCGGTGAACTGATTATTGGACGCCATATTGAATTGTAACAGCTGTTATCTGGTGGCTACAAAAGCAATTAATCTAGTAAGTTTATAATAGAACCAACTTATTGCCAACTTAAATTCGGTCGCCACGTGTAATATCCCCTTAATATTCTAGTTGGACGAAACATGAACTAATGTAACGAAAATATAAAATACTCGTGTATATTTATAGCTAAATTTCAATTGTCTATTAAAATAGTATAACGTTTACAAATTTTGTATTCTGTGTTCGTTAGTTCCTATAGAAATTATTCCCTTTTCATTGCTATTATCGTTATGATTTAAAACGGATCTATGGGTGATTACTGAAAACGCGGGAAACTACTGCGTTGTGTACTTGAGTTGATAGGGAAATGTCCGTTGGGCGTTGTTGGGACGGCGGTGAACGTTTCACCGTGAAATACATATTTTTGGTTTCCTTTGAATACCAGAAACATCTGAATAATTAGCTCGAGAACAGCTGAGTGTAACTTTAAAGATCCACCGATTAGTTCGTTGCTAGAATACCGTGGTTGGATTTTCTTCGTACACTCTCTCGTTTTTCTAACGGCTACTATCATGAGGCCTGGAGGTGGTACGAAGGTTTCTACCGCCAAAACTGTTGCTTCTGAGGTTAGTAATGCGACTTGCTTTTTTCATTATATTTCATTTCCTTCGATCTTTAAGGAAAGCCAAAATTATTGCTATTTTCATCGCATCAAACACGCTACACTTTCGAAAAATATTGACCGATTTATACAATGTATAATACTCAAATTAAAGAAATGATTTTCATTTATTTATCTACTTAATTAAATAACTATCATGTTTCGATAACTAGTTTTTACGAATGCAATTAATTAATGTATATATGTCATATGCCATTTTAATAACAATTTATTATTTCACGTAAGTGTGGAATTATAATTAATTTACTCATTTTTAATTGTACTCATGGAATTGTAAATTAGTACAGCATAATTAATTGCATGCAAAGGCTTGGAGGAACATCATACATTTTTCTCTTTTACCTAAACAGGATAAGGTCAGAAAGTCTTTGCACGTTTTGCAGCCAGCAGCCAACGACAAAGAAAACTTAGTTGGCGGAGGGAGGATGCTCAGATCTGCTCAGCAAACGAAGGAAACAGTTAAACCGTAAGTAAATTCTATTGCCTACCAATAATTGTATACGTTGAACACATTGCACAATATTATGTTTTTAATTTAGGGAACATAACGATAAATCGAAACACGATGCTCAGAAGCGTAAAAAAATAACACTTAAGGATAAGGGCGTACAAACTGCAAGAGGGAATAAGATTAAGATCGAAGTGGAAGACTTGACATCAGAAGGTATATCTATTACAAGTAACATCACGAATAATTCATTTTCCATTGTGTAAATGTCTATTGTGTACTTACAACAGCAGGACCCAGCGAAAACTATTGGGAAGTATTAGCTGAAAGGCGGCGGATAGCGCTCGATGACGCTTTAGAGGAGAACAAAGAACTATCTGATCGCGTCGAGAAACTGGAAGAGGAAAATCGTATATATAAAGAAATGTTAGACGAATCGAGAGCGCTAGTCGAAGTCCTACAGGTATTATTAAGTTTCCTTTTATCTGCAATTTCTAAATTATTCTATACATTTAAACTTGATGTTTGTTGCAGGAAATGCTTGGAGAAGACAGAAATGATATAAATAATTCTTTAGACGATAGTACTCTTTAATTTAAGATTTCGCGATCGAGTACTTAACGGTGCCTTACGAACGAAGGTATAGGGAAGAGCATCTCCATATTGGAGATAGTATAATGCACTTGTCTTTGGTACGACGAGTTACATGATACAAAAAAAAAGTCTGAGTAAAACTTTAATGAACTGAAAATGGAAGAGCTTCTATATTACTGTTTTTTACATTTAGTCATCCAAGATTGGGTGTGGTCACGAAAGAATTATCCATAATTTTTTACTTATTCAATGTAAGACTATGACCGTGACTACAAACACGTTTACCTCATAGAGTACTATCAATTATAACATAAATATTATATAATTTTGATTACAAGAAATAAACTAAACTTTCTAAACAAAACGGGGTTTTGTTTAGAATTTTCGTTCATTGCGCCTCAGTACCTTTTACTCCAATGAAATTTCGCCTACGCATCGATACCTAATTTTTATCCATAATAAAATCTAAAAAACAGTTTGTTTCGCGATGATGTTAACGATGAAAATTAATGGTACCAATGGAGAAAATTGTTAGTATCACGTATTTATTTCACAAATCTTTGGCATAGAAGACCTTGAGTTCCATTGAAAAATCAACGCTAACATCGGTTTTGGCAACGACTGACGATGTTTCGTTAACACACCAGTCACAGCACTGCGTGTTCGAGGAAGCCATTTATCTGCTGCATCATAGTTTCAGTGAAAAGTTACAAAAGTTCGATAGACTGCCAGGAAGTCGTGCGTAAATTGCTGGATGCGCAAAAGCGAGCTTCGTTGTTCGGTATTCTTGTACGAGGAACTTTCTCCTCGAATGTTTTTCATCTCTCCCATCTCGTACGAAGAATTGCGTAGTTTCCTTGGTGACCAATTAAACGGGAAGTGAACCGTCTCACGGAAACTGAATCGTGAGAGTCGGTGAACGTCGGGTTTGCACTGCGGAACGCCGTCGAGAAGCGTTGGAGTCAGTTTTTAATCTTCATCCTTGAAACGGCGATAGATAGACTGCACGTAGGTGAAGACGCACTTCCAGTCTGGTCGTCGCATCACCACCATGTCCTCGACATCTAGCAACGGTGCGATCCCAGCGAGTTCGCTAAGAACAATGATAATGGTGCCGCCATCAACGAATTTTCTCGCGGTGCTATTAACCATTTACTGGGTTACAACACCTTAATGGCGTTAAAACAAAGGTCATTCTCACACATGACTTACAAGGAATATCGTCTAATTAAATATTAAAAATTATAAAAAACATTACTTGAAAAATGATTAGGGGAGATTACGACTTTCGTGGTGTGAGTACGTCGAAACCGGAAACCGTTTAGTTTGTAAATTATATTCATTATAAATATGATATTATCATACTTTGAATGAATGTAATATTGTGGCATTGTTTTTCAGATAAGTTATATTAAATAAAAACACGGTCAAATCACGGAAATCGTAATCGTTCCAAACGTTTTCGTTCTTTGTCAATCGTGTGTTTCTTATCAGACAATCTATTTTCAGGGGCAGACTAAAGGAAATAGAAGAAATCGTTGCCTACTCGGCTTTTTTAAACGCCAAGTCGAAGTTCATCCTGCGATTCTCCGGCCGTAGAGAATTATAGTCGAAAGCGTCTGGTCTGAAGTGATGAAGCAAAGCGCAAAATGCCAAACCGTTGTTCCAGCTCGTCGAGAAATTATCCAGTTGCACGTTCTGCAACGAAAAGAAGTGACGTCACCATTCTTGGTCTCTTTGTACTCTAGTCTCATGATCCATGCATAGCAACTCTGGTCACGAGTCGGTTTTAATTGGCGACGCGAAATTATCCCCCGTTTCTGTAAATAACACGCGAAGCACCATTTTCCAACGCGGATTTACCTCGTACTCTTTGGTCTTGGAACGGCACCACGCCAGTAGCCGCTCTTTTATTTGCGCCGCGTTGTCCCGCACCGCTGGCTCGGTAAACTTGAATCGAAACTCTGTTGCCGGTGACTTTACGGGACTAAATATAGAAAGAAAAGGTATGCGTTAAACTTTTGGAGGAACCAGCTGCATGTACGGATTCGAAGCCTCGCGGTTGTGCGCAAATACAAGGATTGTTGAAGGAAAAATAATGTACCTTCGTCCGAGTAACCACGGAATTAACTAATTACGAAGTGGTAGATTCTTTTACGTTATGTAAAGTTTGTAGTATTCATGGATTCCGGAAGATTGGCTCGTTTGATTTCAGCTTGTTGCAAACGTTTTGGAAACGTTACGCATCTTCAGGGATAGGTAGCTCCGATACCGAAGCTTCCGAAAACCATGGATATTATATAAAGGATAACACTCGCGAAAGCCTTAAATCTAAAATTGTATAAAGTTATTTAATTAGTCCAAGTAAAAGTATTTAGGAGCATTGCGTGAATCGAAAGGTGACCCTGGCGAAGAAGGCGCGCGAATGCCTTGGAAATAAATAATACACGTAAATAGTTTTCAATTACCTCGGTGACGAAGCGGCGCTATTTTGTCTGTCGAGTTCACGAAACTTGGCAAACGGGGATAGTGGCTTCTTGCGGGCTGAAAAACGAAGAGAGGAAAGTCAGTAAAAGATGAAACCGTCCTGGTAGCAAGTCGTCAGCGCAAACGTTAGGGTTTATCATTGAAACGCATTCTGTCATCGAACCAATGTTAATCTCTATGCCTATGTTTCGAAAACCAACGTTTGTCAATAAATCGCTGCGCATGTGAGAATTATTAGAAGGATCTGGCAGAAAAAAGAAAAGAAAAAGAGAAGAGAACTTTCGTTTCTCAACCTCGTCGCGATTCATCGATCGGTGATCGGTTACTGTTGCGATTAATTTTGAAACAATCACGGTTTCATTGTAATTTCTTCGTTTCGTTAAAAAAATTAGTTTGTTTTATTTATTTCTGATCGGAGCTGCAACGAGGCGATGACGAAATCGCCTCCATCAACAAAGAAAAGGAAAAAGTAAAGGAAAATAAAAGTAGTAAAAAACACGCGGAGCTGGTTCTAAACTAAAGGCTCGTGTGCTCGTATCGAAGAACGTCGAGGAAATTCGTGCAATTTCCACCGCCACCCCGTATGCAGTAGGTATTCGTGCGTTATCACACACGCACACACACAGACGCACTCGTACCCACATGGACACCAAAGTGGCGGCACTTAATTCGCGACGATTAGCTGATATCACGACCGCCATCCAACAGTAACGCGACCATCGTCACGAAACTTTACGTAAATAAGAGTAATATCGAGCAATATTAAACAGGTATTTCTTTCGTATCAACAGAGTCCCGCGCAGGGATGTTGAAAGCCATAATTAAAAATATGTGTTTAATATCTCGTTCGATAATCCGCGTGGAAGATTTCATAAAAATAGCGTGTACAGCGGGCTGGTGCTTGTTGCGTATCGTTAAAAGCGTAATCTCGCTAAGAGAATCCTCATCGATTCCGCGAATAAAGACTTGGAAACTTGGCTGGCGCGTGTCCCGAATGTTTACAATCTCCAAATAAATGCACGTGCGCGGGACGTGCTATTTTCGCGTCGATAGAGGACGAATTATATTCGCGTCGATCGATGAATGATTTGCCTCTGCCCGAGAACTCTCGATGGAAACAGAAATCGGGGAGGAACGATTCGTCGTGTTCGAGAGCAAAAAAAAAAAAACAGAAAGAAAAAAGAAAAATAAAACGAACGAGAAAAATGCATCGGTGACGAGTTCCCGCGACGGAGAACGCGATTTCAAAGCCAAGACAAATTTCGCGACAACTATTTTAAACAAATCTCCACCGATCCAGACGCATGGGCTACCAACCCTTGACAGTCCTACGCTCGAGTCAGCCTCGACGTTCTACTCCATCATACCCGGACTCTATTTTAGGAGGAATCGTGGCGTAGAACGTCCCGGCGATTATTCATTCACGGTCAAGATCCCGTCGGGCGTTTCTTTCGAAATGAATTCGGACCCGATCGGAGCACTAAGCGAAATAGAAAAGTAGGAAGTTCCAGTAACGCGCCAAGGAGTCGCATCTCTCATCATTCCGCTCTATTAATGCGACACGGTTGCGCAGGAAATCGTACAGTGTACAGGGTGTCTCGTCGAGTCACCGACAAACATTTCCAGCACGTTTGGCGAGATACTCTGAAAAATACAAAAATAAAAAAAAAAAAAGATAGCGAAGTAGCTACCGAGTAAGCTTGCACAGTCCCTGACATTTTTAACTCTTTCGGCCCTAGCGATGTATCTCCCAGTGAATATATCTGGTTGCCAAATTACGATTGAGACTCACAGGAATATAAATATGTTAACAAAAAAATATATAATACGCTCTTTGATTCATAGTAAATTCTAGAAACGAGTAGAATTCAAATAGAAATCTGCAGAGTCGAAAGGGTTAAAGTGGCACCTCTTTAATAATGGCGACAAATTCTTTCTCTGTAAACGGCAACCCTAACCGCGCGACACCCTGCATCCTGCTCGGTCACCATCAAGAATCCAAGTTCGTCTTGCGTCGCGAAAAACGGGTGTGCGTGTGTGTGTGTGTGGTGTCGCCTCTAAAAGTTCTACTGCGACTATATGGTGTGCTACGTTGTTAAACTCGTGCACAGTCCGGTTGGTGCAAGCTACAGACGTTACACTGCGCGATGGCAAAAGGATCAACAAAGAAGGGCTAGTGACTCACTGCTTTATTCGGGGTTTGGCACGACCTTCTAGCACGACTCTCTCAACGTCCGTCCGCAAAACGTGTTCGCAGAGCGCGACTCGAGGCTTATTAAACAAAAACAGAAGTAGAACAGAGACAACAACAAAAGAAAAGAAGAAGAAGAAGAAGAAGACGAAGAAGAAACGGTTGAGAAGCACACGCGGAGCGTCGAGCAGCTGCGAGAAAGCTCGCCTCCCGGTGCTTTCGGGTGGACGAGCACGAAAACGTCGAACGATCGGGTTCGCTTTTATTTTCCTCGATGATGAACGACGATCTTGGACGATTCTCGTCGTCGTTGCTCCCGCGAGGCGCTAATCTAACCTTGGGAGGGTTAAAAGCCGACTCCTTCGCGGCTCCGTTGTCCCCTCGTTCGCGGTTCTTGCATTCTCGCGCACCTCGAAGCCTTCCTTTCCACGATCTAACGATTACGTTTCTCTTCTTCGAATCGCGACGAGAGCGCGCGTCGTTGCTTTACCGTCGATGTCACTCTCTATCTCTTCGTTGCATTACTTTTTTCTAACGTCTATGGCACTCAGGCGTCGGCGGCGAGCGATTAAACTACGCGATGAACACGATACGATGAGACTAGAAACAGGAAAGGACTTCCTCCAGTGGGAAGCGTACAATTCGCGACGCGCTGACCTCGATAAAACAGTTCTTCTTTCACGGAGAGCAACGGAACAGTTCCCAGCCAAGGCGAA